TAAGCATGGTTAGTAGTTATAAAGCAAAATATAAACATAAAAATTCTTTCCTGAGTAAAATAGGTGGTACAAAATGTAACCTTAGGTTCAACGCCCAGGTTAGGTTAGCAAAGGTGGGGCAGTGGTTGGAGAGGAGACAGAAGAGCTGACCGCACATTTTTCATTTTGCACCCGGGGACCCAAAAGATACCGTTTCTTCTTGACTTTTCATAATCAGAAAAATATAGGGGTGCACCATTGGACTGTGCTCATTAGTAATCAGATTTAAAACACTGACTTGCGGCATATTGAAACTTAGAAAGAACAGACATGATATGTAAAGGAATTTTGATCCGAAACGAAATTCTTCTAACTTCTGGATATTTCCTATCTCGCCCTCATCTCTGACGACCCCATTCTTATCTCAGAACTACTCCTTCCTCCTGAATCTTCCAGCTTCCAGTATATATCCACAGAATCAGCCTCACTCTGTGCTTTTTTCATCATTCACCTGGGAAAATAACTTTTCTCCCTACACAGCCCTGCCTCTGCCCTAAACTTCTCGGTTGACAATCTTCCTCAGATTGCTTGCCTTAACAGGTTATCTACCTGTCTTTCTAGAATACAAGGCATACAGCACCCAGTGAAATTGCCCATCTCTCACAGGCACTAAATCCAGAGCTGTAATAAGCAATTTTCTGCATCTGTTTCCTAGTTCTCCCAAGCTGCTCTGATATCTAGCTGATATAATACATCCTTACAAGGGGTCCTTCCAACAATTAATGCTCCCCATCCCACCTCCTCACACTAATAAAAGCAAAAAAACAGAATAATGTTAATGGTGAATAATAACAGCCAAAGGAAACCCAAAGCAGCATGCTGGCCATATTTTCTATTTGGATTATAGTGTTTATTTGCCTAGACCATTATTTCTCCCAGGTCTAACGCCTGGAGGTATGTGCTAATTTGCCAAGCTGTTTAATATTTAGTGAGGAGCCACAGCGGCCAATAATTTTTAATAGCTGTCCTCTATTGATTTCAACCCACATATTAAAGCGCCTAATAAAAATTTTAAAAGGATAGGTGAAGGGACATAAGGACAACAGAAAGTTAATAGCCTTGTCCACCTCCATTTGAAGAGAAGAGGATTATTTCAACTTACATGCAGAGTTTGTATAATAAGACAATTGCTCCCTGCAAACATCTTTCAGCAGTGTTTTTTTTAGATGAGCTTATGCAATACATAAGTTCTTCAACTGACATGGTTGTATTCCTCAGCAAACTCTAAAATAAGTAATTTCTGATGAGGTATAGGTGGGTCTGTTTTATAAATCTGAAACCCTTGTGGGCATAGCAATGAAATTGAAAAAGAAGAAAAAAATTCTTAACAAATGAATGACACTTCAGGTGTTGAGTCCATGGCCACCACCGCCTCCGCCACCACCACCGATTCAACAGAGGCTGCAAAAAGTGAAGCAAAAGATGGAGCCTTAGGGGCACCTGGGTGGCTTAGTCGGTTAAGCATCTGCCTTCGGCTCAGGTCATGATCCCAGGGTCCTGGGATCGAGCCCCACATTGGGCTCCCTGCTCAGCGGGGTCTGCTTCTTCCTCTCCCTCTGCCTGCCACTCCCCCTGCTTTTGCACTCTCTCTCTGCCAAATAAATAAATAAAATCTTAAAAAAAAAAAAAAAAGATGGAGCCTTAGAACTGGAGGAATGTATTTGTAGTTCCAGCAAAGCTCCCTGAAGCCTGGGCCTGAAGCTTCAAGAAAGGCAGGGCCCGTGTTCATCTCAGGCATGGACTTGAGAAGAAGTAACTGAGCTAGCCAATACACATCATTTTAGAAAGGAAGGGTTCACTCTGAAGCAGCCTTCAAATTTAGTAAGGTAACAAGTGCCATATTTCTTTTGGATTATAGATATGGAGGCTTACCTTAACATGGACATAGATTAAGTCCTCCTTCAACAAGAAACTCTCCATAAACCCCCCCACCATCAAGGACAGGCCCTGTCCTTCATGGAACCATAGGCCTGGGCTTGGGGGATCAAGCAGAGACCCTGAAGACAGATGGCTCAAACTTGAAATCAAAGTTGTTCTATAACTGCCTCTGGACAGGTTATTTAAAACCACTCTTTCTATTTTTTTCTTATGTAAAAAATTGATTTACTAGATTATAGATTAAAGTAAAGATAGTGCCTTGGACATAGTAGGCACATTTTATTATGGCATATACTATGTGCTAAAGCAGTTCTTTACACAGAAAATTTCACCAGATTGTAGAGGGAAGTAGTCACTGTAGTTTGGGATGGAAAAGGAAAGATTCATAAGTAGAGTGACCATATCATTTCTCTGCCAAAATGGGACACTTTTGAATGACAAAGAGGGAACTCTTACTAAATACGCTGAGACAACAGGCATAAACTGTGCATGTTTCAGACCAACCAGGAGGTATGCTCAGCAAACGCTTGATTTAAGGTTGGAAGAAAGAATGGAAATGAAATGCCAGGAATGTCATGAGATGCAAAGGCTGGGTGCCATGTAGGTTTTTTGTGAACTGTGGCTAAAGAAGCCTAATCAGGGTGGCTCAGTCGTTTAAGCGTCCAACTCTTGGTTTCCACTCAGGTCGTGATCTCAGGGCCATGAGATCGAGCCCCACATCTGGCTCTGCAGTGGGTCTGGAGTCTGCTTAAGATTCTCTCTCTCTCACCCTCTGCCCCTCCCCCACTCACACTCTCTCTCTTTAAAAAAAAAGAAGAAGACTGATCAGTTTTTGTTAAAGAATTCTTTTGAAAGCATAGTGTATGAGAAGGATAGAGGTAGATAGCAGAAGGATTTAGGTTGCAAAATATTTTAAATGCCCAAATAACAATTTTGGTTTTATCTCTTAGATCATAAAGGGCCATTGGAAGTATTTGAGGAGAATAGTAAAATGCAAAAATAGTATATTCAGATCAATTTGGCAGATTGGAATAGGGAGATTACAGAATCTAAATAGGTAGGGATGATCTCGGACAGGAAAGAAATGCCTAAAGTAAGAAATACTTGGAAGAAAATTTGAGAGGACTTAATCATAACTAATTATGAAGAAGTTAAGAGGGAACTGAACATGATCTCATGAGTTGAAAACTATTTGATAGAAAAAGCCAACACTGGTGATAAAAACTGATGACACATTATATGTCACATGATTTTCAAAAGTATCTTAACATGAAGAATAAAATACAGAAGAGATTTCTTTCTTGTTAATTTGTATTCACTGAGAAGTTGTCAGTAGGTGATAATACCATCTCAGATGAAGATGCTTTATAAGATGCATCCCTGGGACCTTGACTTTAATCTACATTGAATGACAGTTGGAGAAGTGAACTGGTACCAGAGTTAGGGCTAGGAGTCCAGTTGGTCAGGAGTGGTTTGAGACAATACATCAAGGCCAGCAAAGACAGATAAGAAAAAGAAAGTCAAGTTCAATTATGGATATAAGTAGGGTAGGAAGGGTAAGATTCTATCTGGTAAAATGGATAATAGAAATGAGGGACCCAGACAAGAACTTTGGAAAAAAGTTCTCTGAGCCAAGAGTGAAAAGATGTGGGGAATATGTCAATGCAAAGTATGCCACTTTGGCATAACGATTATTTTGAACTGAAAGCAATTGAGAATTAATAGAGAAAGAGTGCTCTGCTCTCCCCTTGTCTGCCTAAATTCAGGGTATAAATTTCCCTTTGAGGGAGGTGCCTCCCTCTGCAGCCCCCCTCACTTCCTTCTTCCCCCACCCCCATTCCAGGTAGAGAGGATCAACCCTTATCATTGAAGATGGGGAACTGACACCAAGATGAGTTTGCATAAACAGACCTCACTAAAATAATTTTTATCCTCCATTAGTTTCCCCAATATATTTCCTAGTTATTACCTCCAATTCATTGTCCCTTGAAACCCAAATCGTCCTTTCATTAAGTGGGTATATGAGCACCTGAATCTATTTTTTTTTGAGTTTCATTTCTTTTCTGTAACCCCTGTACATGAAAAAAATTATAAGAAGTGTGTTCCTTTTCTCCTATTGATCTGTCCTTTCTTATTTAATTTGCAGTCCTCAGGTACTGAATTAAGAAGGTACAAAAATATTTTTCCTCCTCAACACTCATTTCAACCATGAGGAAATCAAGGAAATTCCAGCTTACCTAACTGCAAATCTCTTCCCCTTTCCAATAAGAGCTCCTTCTGTATTATACCTCCTGGCACAGGCAAGAAATAGTTTCAGAGAATGGATGCCCTTGAAGTCACAGGACACAAAAAGCTCCTCAGGCTGGGTGGGAGGGAAGTAGGTGGAGAACAGATCCATTTTGGACTCTAGCAGGATTATTCTAAAGCAATTTGCCACATAATTTCTCCACAGGTAAAATCCCTGAGGGCCAACAAATTAGCTGAGAAGGAGATAACCAAATCTACTAATTCTTTTTTTATTATTATTATCTTAATTGTGCCCTTTCTCTGAGCTAGTACATTGGTGTGATATACACACACAAAAAAGCCAGAAATACCACATCTTCAACTCTTGGATCAGCTGGATATAAAGTAATATCGAATGAAGGAGTCATAATGAAATATGTTAAAATGCTGTCCTGTCCCACTCATCTTCCCTTGCCAAAAATAAATAAATAAATAAATAAACTCTGAAGGAATTGATGACCAGTGATAGTCTCTACAGAATGCTGTGGAAATCGATTAAACAGAAGCTGAAAAATGTCTCAGGGTGTAATTGATAACATGATGAGACAGGAAAAAAATTACAAGTATGAAGTTAAATCCAAAAATTCTTACTTAGAGAAAATGCAGAGGCTTCTCGTATCCCACAGGACCAATCTGGAAAACTATTAGTGTTTGGAGAAGCGAGAACCAGAGAATAATTGTTGTTGTTTGTTTATTTTTGACAGTTTTAAAGGACAATTTCTCTTGGGGGAAAATTTCTGTTCCCTACTTAGAAGTTCGTTCTAAACCCAAGACCGTTCCAGGAAAGTTTTTTGGCTCTTTCTTGAACTTTGGAAATGGATTTTGCATAAACTTGTATAATCTGTTTACTTAATTGCTTCAGTAGATTATCATACCCCAAATTCAGAGGTTTAAAAATATCACTGGATAGAGGACATATCAGATATTAAACTGTTAAGAACAGATACTACACTTGATCTTACCCAAAAGGCCGAGAAGTGATGTGGATGGAACTGGAGGGTATTATGCTGAGCGAAATAAGTCAATCCGAGAAAGACATGTGTCATATGACCTCACTGATATGAGGAATTCTTAATCTCAGGAAACAAACTGAGGGTTGCTG